TATCGAAGCTAGCTCGGGTTCGGCTTGGCGGGCCCGCGGACTCCTGCGCAAGGTCGGATTGCGACCCCGTGAGCGGGTGGCTCTCGCGGAATCTCTAACGCGCACTATAATTGGAGTTATATATTTTGTGAACCCAAGAAAAAAGAAAACAAAAAACAAGGAAATTTAAAACTTATTGATAGATGAACAGATTAAGGTGTTGCTGAGCTTGGTCTCCTGTGCGCCCTGTGCTCCTAGGAGGAGGATGAAGCCAACAATTTGGCGCAGAAGACCGAGTACTTAGGCTTTGAAGAGGGTGGCACCAAATATGGAGGCTACGCCCAAAAGTACGGAGCCCAAGTATCGCAAACGGCCAAGTCGATCGGTCGAATTGCTTCTCATTAATGTGTTCTACGTCTCATTACTGACGGACTTCTGACTATTGACTTTTGACTTTACTGGCTGATTTGTTTCTCACTAACGTCTTCTCACATCTCACTACTGACGAACTTCTGACCATTGACGACGCGTTCTCTCGCGGGCCCCTATTTATACTTCAAAAAGTGGCGTTTTTTCCTTTGTCCAGGACAATAGTTAAGTTGCAATGTCAAGCTCTGATTTTTTCTTAGGTCCTATCGTGGTTGATCTCGAGTACGTTGAAGGGGAGGTAATTTATGATTTTCTCGAGTCTGAGGGAAAATTGCTCCGAGTGGATGTCAAGTTTTATTATGCCGCGAAAAATATAGCTGGGTAAACCATTATTTGTGACGTTTATTTAGTTTTCTTAGGATGTACGCGTGCAGGGTAACCGTTGTCAATCTTAAGTCTGGCCCCAGATAACATTAATATGGGGGGGTTCCTTTGGAGCGTTTTGGCGCGACGTGGCACCGGCTTTATCTTTACCTAATATGGAATTGTTAGTCATCCTCGGATGGCGGCTTAGGTGTTTGCTATTTCCTTATATGGGCATATTTTGTAATCATACCGCTTCTAGCCCCGCGTTTTTATCTAATATGGAATTGTTAGTCTGCCTCGGGTGGCAGCTATGGTATGATGCAGATATATGAATTTCGCAAGCCTAGCGTTTCTAGCCTCGCATCAGAGTTGTTGTTCTTTCCTTCTTGAGTGGCATTTATGAGTTTTCGTGGAAGCTGTTTAGGCCTTCTAATTCTTTCAAATTGTTAACAGAAGATTGCACTCGAATCTCATAAATGTCATCATCAGCCGCGGCGTGGAGTCGTCTTTCGAAAGAAAAGAATCGTGGCGTCTACATAACAGTGTATACCTTTTACTTTTTAGTTAAAATCATTCTTACCACGACAAGGTAGGTGTATGTCGAGAAAGATTTTTCGTTTTCTGGGGTATTTTATTTCTTATTTTGTTTGTACCCTGATAAAAAAATTTCGCTGAAGTTATTTCACGTTGTTGAACATCTTTCAGTAAAATTTAAGCATTTTAGAAAAATTTCGGTTTAATTTTAATGATTTTTAGTTGAAAAATTCATTTTCAGCAAAATTTTAGTAAAATTCAGACAAATTCCAGTGAAAATTTCAAAGAAATTTCAACGATTTTTCAATACTATTTACAATTAATTGGAAAATTCACTTTCAGTGAAATTTCAGCAAATTTTCAGCAATTTCGCTGAAATTCCAAAACGTAGAATAATTTCATTTCAGTGAAATTTTTTCACCAGGATTTTTGTATCTTTGTATTTTTAAATTTTAACTCCACCCACACGCGCTTTTATTCAACACGCGTCTCTCGACCAGGGGGGTGGTGGCAAATGTCCCTCCCCCTTGCTCACTCCTGTGGATGCCCATGCAAGTAACGCATTACTTGCGAACTCTGCTTGTGAGTCCATGCACTGCTCCAATTAAGTTCTTCCTAGAAAGAGAAAACAGTTTCTTTCTAGTCGGAAAAAGTTTACTTTGCTTTAACTTATTAAGTAACTTATTAAGTTACTTATTAAGTAATAATTGTACACTCTTTTACGGAATCGTTAAATCAACGTGCAATGTTTAATATTTAGGATGACATTGGACCCACATGGATGTATAAATAAGAATTCAATTTTAAATTTATATGGCGAAGAGATCAATTTTAATGTCCGATTTTAATTATAATTAATTATTAAATTAATTTGAAAAGTTTCCTTTAGTATAAAAAATTCCTTTAGTGTTTAAAGAAATAGTACGTCGTATTGAGTTCGTAATCTTGCACATTTATTGTTTAGCGTTATCAATCGTTTGCATACGCTCATTACACTGTTCAACAAAAAATCACTTTTCTTCTTATTCGATGTACATATCCAGAAGATTTCTTCTTGATAAACACGATGCCATTAGTAAAATTTGCGTAACATACTTCAGGATTTTGAGTAAATTGAGATGAAATCGGCCAAAATAGGATTTTTTAATGTTTTCAATATTTTTTACAGCAAAACAAAACCTTATTTCTAAATAAAGTTTATCGAGTCTAAAAGTACAATTCAAGAGTTTTCAAATGAATTTTAGGACATGATCGTATTATTTATTTTTATCGTGTTATGACTGCTTCCGTAGACATAATTTCAAAACAACTTTCTATTTTATTGTAAAAATTGTATTTGTATAATTGTATTTTATATAGTTGCTTGTATATAGGGTAACTCCGGTATATACGCCGCACCTATCAAAAACTTAATTTATTAATGCCTCGGTAGTCTAATGGCTCAGGACACTCGTACGGAATACAAAAGATCCGAGTTCGACTCCCGGCCGAGGTAATATTTTTCGCAATAAGTTTAATTACAGTTTTTTCAGCATATTAACATCTTTGAAATATAATATGATGCCTGATTGAGCATCGAAATTATTAAAATTTAATTTAATTCGCAAAATTACTACAGTGGTTTAATTGTATTCAGTCCGGAAATATTTCGGTGCACAGTTCGTTAAACTACAATTGTGGTATGTATGTCTAGTACATACATATCATATTTAGTGATTCAAGATTGAATTATTTAAACATTTTAAGATCTAGCTTCGACCGTATAGGGCTCTAATTTATCGATTGTGTCTCTCACATACACGGTCTAAAAATGACATTATTAATTTATTAAGTATTATTTACTATGTTTAAAGTAAACGAGCCATATCAGTAAAAATTTTTGTACTGTCTACTACTACGAAAAAAATATTAGAAATCGGAAATATTTATTTTTCGTATTCTAGAATGAACTTTTTGAAACCTTTGCATTTTTGCCGTATATCCCATAGGGGCGGAATATATGGCTACTCATAGGGGGTGAAGGGGGTATATACGGCTCATGAAAAATTTACAAATATTGTAATTCTTATAAATGTAGGGATTTGTCCAGTTGAAAAAAAGAGATGTCTTTTTAAAAAACAAAAGGAAAATTAATTTAATGTAACTCAAAGGTACACCGTGCGTAAGTAAGTTCTCTCTCTCTCTCTCTTTTTTCTTTTTTCTTCTTCTCTTCTTCTTTCTTCTCTTCTTCTGTGCGCCACCGTCGACTCCTGGTACCTCAGCGCCGCGAGGGACTCGAAACTCTGCCGCCATCTACATGTTTCCCACAGTTCGGCCGTCCTGAATGATCATCCGCCCCGGATGATGTCCCTTTGTCACGATTTAGTATAGCCCATTGCTTTAAGTACTCAGCACAGGTAGAAGTTTTTGCTGGTCCTTCTCCGCTTCCCACCTTTTCCACGTCATAGGTATCATTAGCCTTTACTTTAGAGATACGATAGGGCCCCAGGTACTTAGGTTTTAATTTTAATCTAAATCCCATCTGCGTGCGTTTGATGGCCACGAGATCATCGATATGGTACTTATTGGAATCTTTGCATCGTAGATTGTAATACTTTCTGTTCTCGTTCTGAACCCTCTCTATCTGCCTTCGAGCATCCTCTCTCAATTGTTTTCTAGCGTCTTCATAGTAGTGAGTTAGCTCTTGTTCGATCGCTTCTTTCATAGTGAGATCTTCCTTGGAATTCATTTTAGTTCCTATCATCAACTCAAAAGGAGTAGTGTCGATGCTGCGTTGATATGTCGAATTCAATACCTGTTGCAACCTGGCAACGTGCTGGTACCATTTAGCGGGTGCATTCATTGACATCTTGGTGAGTACTGGGATAATTGTCCTATTAATTCGTTCAATCTGCCCATTGGCTCTGGGCAGACCTTTTTTTTTGTTTTGCGTAGGAGGAGAAAATCTTCGTATAACCCCCAGCTAGGAATCCTCCCTTGTGGGAGTTTCAGCCTAGCCGAAGGGGGGAAGACACCCATTACCGCGCGCGATGGGTATGTTGGATTCGGACTGTTGTCCGGGCAGCGTGGCTCAGACTAGGCCCGCAAGAACGGTCCGAGGGCTATTCGCTATATGGGTCAATTCCCAGGCGACTGGAGAGGCCCAGCTTTCGCACCAGCAAGACCGCTCCCCGGGTCCATTGCCATTATTTGCCAATTCACTTACCCGGGTTCGCCTACCAACTAAAAACTCTCCCTGTCTTGCGCTACCTCTCAAAGCCTATTGTCGAACGCCCGGAACTACCGAGGTACGACTTCAGGCATTCGACAGCCCTTATTTGTTCCTATCCTTGCGCGGTTCTTTCTTTGTGTTTTGTATATGTATATACTCGCCGTTAATCTGCCGAGTCACTGTGCTTAGTGTCTCGCGTCTTTCTGCCTATCTCGGTAAGTTTTATTTCTTCCGGTTCTCTATCTCGAACGAAAGATTATGTTCTGTTCGCGCGAGGGGGGTTGGGAGCCCGTATTATCGCCTGACGGGCCCTCTCCGCTTCTTTCTTCGCCAGCATGACTCTATTACAGAATTGGGAGAAAGCTTCCCCCAGTTCTTTTCGTCTTTTAGTATTTGTTTGATTATGTTTGTCATATCTAGGTTAGGTCCTATTGTAGTGATTAGTTGTCGTCTTTCGTTCTGCCATGCTACTCATGTTCCTAGTGTGTGGTTTGCGTCGTCCGTTCTACTTGCGCAATGTGCGCATCTAGTTGTAGCAATTTTACGAATTTATTTTATATAGGTAGCTGCTGAAGCATCCGTGTCCCGATATTATCTGTGTCATATGGAATGTTACTCTACCAACTTTCCTCTGATACCATTCCTCGAGCTTCAGTGCAATCATCTCCCTCACTCTTCGTCCATACCCGCCTCTTCTTTCGCATTTTCTTTTCCAACTTGCTACCGCATGACTACTTGCTTGCGTTTTTAGTATATCCTTGGCTTTTTCGCTAATCCCTATTCCGCGATTTCGTAGGTCTTTAATCCTTAAATAAAGGTTTTTATATTTGATAGCTAGGATATCAGCCGGTATCATCGTTGCTAACAGCATAGTGGCTTCGTAAGCCACGGTTTTATAGGTGCAGGCTATTCTGCCGGCTATATTCTTCTGTGTTCTCCTCAGGATCGTCTGTATCTCCTTATTGCTCCCGATGTCATCGGCCCACACCGGAGCTCCATACATCAATACTGACATTAATGTCCCTGCAAAAAGTCTCCTCTTTTCCTCCATTGATCCTCGGAAGTTCGGCATTACTCTTCCTAAGGAGGTTGTTAAAACCTCCACTTTCTTCGATGTCTTGTTAAAGTGGTTAGTGAATTTCCACTTGCTATCAATATGTATTCCTAAATATCTAGTTGTGTCCTTTATTTTGATCAATTCTCTTTAAATAACTAACACTGGCAACACGGTCGGGGGACTTTTTTCGGCACAAATATTGTTGCTTCTGTTTTTCTAGCAGCTATTTTAAGTCCCATTTCTTCGAATTCACGGACCACGATTGCTGTGGCCAGCTCTACGCACACTGCCGCCTCAATTACGTTATCTCTAATTGCAATTATTAATGTATCATCTGCGTAGCAGATTATATGGCAGTCTTCCGGTATGTCTACTTTTAAAATTTTATCGTATGCGATATTCCATAGTAATGACCCTAGTACCGATCCCTGCGGGACTCCTCTATTTATCCGTAATTTTATACATTCCTGCCTTTCATTCGTGTATACTAAGTATTTGTTGTTCAAATAGCTCGATACTATGTTTATTAGATAATTCGGTATATTTTTTATTTCTAGTCCCGTTATGATACTTTCCCATTTGACCGAGTTGAAAGCATTTTTAATGTCTAGGTTAACTGCTGCCGCTACTTTACCCTGTTTGGTTCCTGTCTCTACTATTTCTCTCAGTTTCAATATTGCGTCTATGGTTGATCTTTTGGCTCTAAAGCCAAATTGATTGATAGATAGTTCTTCATGATTTTTAAGATAATTATTTAATAATAAAATTAACATCATGTTTTATGTTTACATTGATAGACTATATCATTATTATAAGAACAATTGTATTTATCTTTACTTCACAAAAAGCATCATATACGAAGTCTGTTAAAAAAATATCCGAACTTTTTGAATTACGCGGCAACGCTTTGCGTCCTAGCGATGTGCGGTTGGCAGCACTACAATTGTCATAATCTTCCGGGTAAACAGCTTTTTTCACATTATTTACATTTCGTTTAATTTTAGAGTTATTGCTATTTGAGTGCAACATGTTTTAGTGTTCATGGCGATTTTCGCTATGTCCGATTTATGGGAGCAACGATGCAATGTGAAATTTTGCGTGAAACTAGTCTCCCTACTAAAAAAAAATTGAAGGATATTCCAAAAGAAGCTTTTCAGGACTGCATGGTAAAGTGGAAACACCGCTGGGACAAGTGTGTGAATAGAGGAGGGGAGTACTTTGAAGGAGACATAGACTAATAAGCTGTATGTTAAATAATAAAAATTAAAAAAAAGTTCGGCTACTTTTTGAACAGACGTATTGTGTACATAACTTCAATATATGAAATATTTCATCAAAGTTATCAAGTTTAATTCAAATCGACACGTGTCATTAGAAGCCACGTAAGTAAAAAGCATTCAATTACATTAAAAACATTTGTCCTTGTTAGTATAGAGACATAATGTTGCAAGTATAGCTACGTTTATAATCATTTGTGCCTTGTAACAATAGGGTAAGAACATTAAATGTGGATTAGTTACTAAGTTTCGGATCACATATTATATTTAAATAATTATAGTGTTATATTTTCTATCAAATAAGGCACATCACAAGAGTTATTAGCATTTGTTTCATCTTTTACAAGTGCCAGTTTTTTTAATTTATTAGCAATATAGCGCTGCACATCTTATTGATGTCGTTAACTAATAAAAGGTGAGACATAAACCAATAATAAGATATATATCTTTAAAAATTTATTCAAAGTGTAATACCATAGGAATTGCCTTATGGCTTTTACAGGAGATAGTAAATAGCATTAAATTTTATGAAAAATGTCAATTTCATATTCAGTTAGAATTAAAGCCAAAAAGGATAAAACATTTGGTGAACCATCATTACTTTATTTAATTATAATTAAATTGTATAAAACGGTACCGAAATAAAAGAAAATCACACAATGTAATCTTTACGACAAATCATTACTATTAAACATTTTATTAATTGTTTGATATCGTTCTGGATAAAAACATAAATTTTTTTCTCAAGACTGATCCACAAATAGTGGCCTTACTCTAAGTATCTATAAATAAAAATTCCGCGAAAAGAAAGGCAATCTAATCTAGATTATCTGTGTGTCCATTCTGTTGTTCAATACTTGCTGGTTAAACGGCATATATATACGTCCCCCAGTGTACATATCTTACAGTGTAGTTCTCACAATGTTCCTAAAGAAACTGTAAAAACTATAGTATTTCTGAAATTCTTATAAAAAATATTAAAACGTGTTTGTGGTTCGTGCAGCAAGAACTAATTTAGTTAAAATACTAGTCGACGACTCGGAAACTATGACAGAGACGTTAGAAAGAGGCACTATTATTGATCATTGGCTCGATCTGCAATTTGGGCATGTTAGAATATCCTCTTGGCAACCTAGGCCGTATTCCTCTTGCCTGTATGCATCTATATGCCTTGGTCAAATGGGGCTTTCTTACTTACATTTACTATTTATGGTTCATTTCTAACTTGCAAATTGGAAAAATATACTTCCATGATTTCTACCATTTCATCATAATTATATTAATTTTCTTTGGTTTATATCGTTTTAAGGTAAAAATTTTTAAATATATTGCCGGTCTATATATGTATAATAAAATACTTGATTTTTTAACAATACTTAAATGAAATAAGATTCCTTAACATTAAAACAATTAAAAAGTTAAAAAAGGACCGTTAGGAATCGGCGCTGTAATAGGTGCGTAAAGAATAAATTAACGGATACAAATTATACGAAGATATTGTTACATCGATCTTTTTGCACCTATTACAGCGCCGATTCCTAACGACCCTTTTTTAACTTTTTAATTGTTTTGATCTTTTAATGTTTCTTATGCTTTTGTTTAACTGTGTTTTTAATTGATAGTATTAAAGGGTCTTGAATGCACAATTATAGGCGAATACAAATTTATAAAAATTTTTTAACAGATCAATTTTAATACTTATATTATTATGTAACTTTTTATCTGACATTTCCTGTACATATTGCAATAACAATTTTTACTCAAATATAAAATTATAATAATTTCTTTCTGCGTATAATCGATCAATATGATTTTTTTAAAGGAACTGAAAATGTGCTTACGTGAACTTAGCATAACAGACGATACGTTAGAATCTCTCGGAACGCCAAAGCGATACCAAAGGCTAAATAACTGGATAATTCGAATAATAATCGGATGGATTGTATGTCTTTTTTTTCTTGGCATTTATTAATTTAAAATTTTTCTTTGTTCATCATACATTAAATTTTACCTTTTATTTGAGTTTTGAATTGACGTGTTATGCGTTTCTGTACATTTACCCGATATATGTCATTTTCTTAAATTATCTGATTACTGCAACTATCCTTGGGTTAGTACATGTATATACAACACTTACTTTGTAAGTTATTTTTATTGACGTTGTGCGTCAAAATGTTTACGGTGTGAAACTTAAAGACCTTTTTGATAATTTTTAAAAAAAGGAAGTCACCTCTATCAGTTACTATGACGTTGACAACATATGTATGTTATCTATATTGTCTGTACAAAACATGCCTATACAGTACTTATTTTGAGTATTAAAAATATCCTTAATATATACTGAGTACTAAAAATATACTAAAGGACAGTTAAATAAAAAAAAAAATTAAATACTACTTTTCATTATTAAATATTTGTAACAGATGAGCATCTTCAAAAAACACTGTGAAGGAAGTAATGTTGAGTAACATAATCGAATAAACAGATATGGTCAGAATTTCCCCCTCCAATGACTTTGATCTGATATATGTCATCATAAAAAAGTAACTACAAAACTAGCGATAAAAATAACTTTCCGTCCCAGGCTGTAAGGGAGAGCTGCACCGCATGTTGACAAGTCATTACGATACGATTGAATCATACGCAACGCCCCTGCAATAGAACAGGTTTTCATATCCAAAGCGTTCTATGTCGAAAAACGTAAATATGTATCAAAAAATTCATATAAAAGTTCCGTATAAAAGTTTCATCTGAGCTCGCAGCATGCATGCAAATATTTGGACGGCCCCGGAAGCGCAGGTGTATAACAATCGCTTCTGCTGTGTTTTCACGCTGTTTCCAAATGTCCCCGCGATTATCTTTTGGCACATTAAAGTTTATAAAAGGATGAGCACAAGCGATGTAACTTCAATATCTCAAATTGAAATACGACGAAATGACGTCGATGTGATATTTGGAATTTACTATTATTTTCAGTGATCTTTGCGCTTCTCGGTTAAAGAAATATTAGATATACTTTCAAAAAATGATTGGAATTGCAAATTTTTATACATTTCATATAAAAATGAAAGATGTTAAGGTAAACATCCAAGTATTGTATAAACCGGACATGTACTGTAAATCCGGATATTTACACAAAGTTCAATTATTTATGTCATTATTTAGGGATGCTCCGAATAGTAAACTACCGGGTACCAGATATCGGATGTCCGGCATCAAATTCTATTTCGATATTTGATGTGCGGGAGGGCAGATATCCAACCGGATAACGGATATTTCCACGGATATTCTGACTGAAAAATGTCTTTTCGAAAAAAAAAGGAAGAATGACATGGTCCTTTAACTAAAAACAAACAAAATACAGTTGTTTAATGTTTTTAGTTTTTAGCCATTGTTTAGCAATTTCGTTTAACATTTCTCAATTTACTGATTGACAAATTGTTATTTTCTGTAAGGCGCGTAGTTTTCTGGTGGCTTCCTTTTTCGTTTTCTAAAATTATATATTAAAACAACTGAAACTGAATTGTAAATATTGGAGCAAACACATTTTGAAAATCTTCTACTCGTATATAAAATATTATATTGAAACGTAAAAGTAAATAAAAAAATTCTAATTTAGTCTGACTTCTGATTACTTATTAACGCAATTAGAATATGCATATACATAACGCATATGTCATAATGTTATTTAAAGGCATAACTAAGTCTTTCTCATTCAATTCAGATACACAAGTTCCA